CATAGAGATCCCAGCTCAAATTCCTTTCATATATATATTTCCACTTTTCCCCCGTGATGGTCTACCGCCTCATCGTGGAGCGGGGGTGACTCTGGGTGTCGAACAGCGAAGTACAGAGGAGGTTTATCCAGCAGGTCTCCCAAGCTGAGAAGGAGTTGAAGGTTTCCGGTTTCCCAGATGCCCAGCTGAGAGTAGGCCATCCCAGAAGCACCACTGTCTGTCTGATTTAGTCGCTAGGTGGCTCCCTGATCCAAATAAGGTCAGCGATCCCTTCGGTGAAAGCTTGGCAGGGCTCGGGCACGCTAATGCTTGGGGAGATCCTGGCCTGTATAGCATGTAAGAGGAAAAGAAGCCTTGCACACTGGATCATATCTACGGCGTCGGACGTCATCAAGACCAGTGTCAGGTTGCACAGGACGCCATGGATATCGCCTCCTGCTCTGTACCTACAACAGGACAGTCTCCACCAACGCCGATCTCCGATCGCCCTTCTCGAAGTTGCACGGCATCAACTACCTCGTAATCGTCTTGCAGGAAAAAAAGTCCAGGTAGACGGACGTGAGGCAGCTGAGTTGTGGCACACCCATCATTTGTGGTGTGAGAAAGATCACGGAACGTTGGAGGCGTTGGATTTGTCGTACACCCCTCTGTTGTCCATCTTGTCAGTTCGCATGAGATCCTATCGCCTTGCCTGGCTACCCTTCGACTTCGTCCTCTGTATCAGATAGCCATCACTATCATCAGCTGCTATTCTCCAACATCAGCAGCTGATGATTATTCGTATTATGAGGATTTAGAGGAAAACATTCGCAAAGAAAACTCCTTCTAAGTTCCTCGTGGGTGACTTCAATGCGAAAATCGGAATGCCAGAAGAAGAGAACAGCATCGGGAGATTTGGATCAGGATTCCGGAATGAAAATGGTAACCGTCTTGTTGGGCTCTTATCCGCCGCACCACTTTTTCATGGCAACTCCATTTTCATGAAGAAAGAACATCGAGGGTGGATGGGAGCCACGGTACGACTCATGCGGAGATCGATCACATTCTCACCAACCGAAGGTGGTGCTTACTGGATGTCTCAGCGGTATCATCCTTCAGTAGTGGTTCGGATCACCGCCTCCTTCGAGCAAAAGTGCGATTTAGCCCGTTGGAAAAGAAAATTTGCCACCGTGTTAGAGAAGGAGGGAAGTCGCATATGACGGCGTCAGATTGGAGAAGCTCCTGACCACTTGTGACTGGTCCATCGTGGAGTACCCGCAAAAGACTACGACCTGCTTCTTAGAGGGATGAGAGCCTGTTGTGAAAGCGCTTCAATGCCTCGCACAAGGAACTTGGAACGATTTTTGAGAGCTACCAAGGATCTGCTAGAGAGGAGAAGAGCTCTGAGGCTGGATCCGCCTGCAGCATATCTCGAGCGGCTGGTAGCCAATACCAGTTGCTGAAAAGCTTTGCAAGAAGATTTTCGAAAGTACAGGCAATCGAAACGTTTGGAAGCAGCGCAAGGGAGGAGAAGTCTAGAGAAGTAACGCAAGGACCTTCTCGACTACGTGTTTCTCTGACAACATTACTAAACGAAGACGGGACTCGCACATCTTCCCGACAAAGAACGGAATCGATCACGAAGAGACTCTACACCAATCTCTTTCCTCGTTAACACTCGTGTCAAACCCCATTATTCCCACTGAAGAAAAAACCACAACAGATTCTACCTAGTACGCGCCGCAAAGACCATGAAGGCAGCCACGGCTCCGGGACCGGAGCATGTCTCGATCGACCTCTTATGAGCTGGAGGACATCGTCTACACGAGATACTTGCGGAACATCGGACGTCCTACCTTCAAAAGACCGACCAATGGAGAATGTCCTGAACAATCCTTTTTCATAAGAAGGGCGATAGGAAGAATCTTTGGAACCACCGTCCAGTTTGCCTGCTGAGCGCGCTTTACAAGCTCTTCACGAAGATTATCCTTGTTCGCATATCAAGGACACTGGATGAAGTTCAACCGGTAGAACAAGCTGGATTTCGCCAGGGATTCAGCTGCGTAGATCACATCCAGTCAGTTTTGAGGATCGAGGTTTGCCGAGAGTACCGCCTAACTCTTGTCTTAACCTTCGCTGACTATGAGAATGCATTTGACAGCGTCGAGACTAATGTCATACTGTCAGCGCTCGTCGACCAAGGGGTGGACCCATCTTACGTGA